TTTTATATACAGTGCCCTGAGGCAACGTATGTTGTGACTTGGTGCTATATAAATAAACTTGAACTTGAACTTAATTATGTGATTGGTCAGAAGTTTGGGGGCATGTTTGTTTCAGCTGAAAGCTCTTGGACACTGCATTTTGCTTCAACTCCTCACTTCCAGAATCCAACTGGTGTACCCAAAGAAGATATAAATCGAGTCAAAAGGCCAAAAACCCATAGATGCACAAAGTATGGACATTGTACACAGAGGAATCTGTCTGTCAAAAACTGTGGTGCTTTTATCAACCGGGACAGATGTGTGGCCAAAGTAACATAAAGTCAATTCATAGGAGGTTTCCTTTATTTCAAATTGGATACATCCGTTGTTGGAGCTGTGTGAAGCTGACACCCCACCCACGTGAAAAAAATCCATCAAATAGTCAGAATCGTTAGTGCTCCATTTGTGCCGTTAAAAGTGTCGTTTGTGCAGTTTTGGTTTCCGAGATATTAAATATTATATTTTTTGGTCATCTACAGTTCACCATCACCCCATATCTCTCCAAAAACAAACCAAAGTGGGCTAGGTCGTTAGTGCTCCGTTTGTGCAGGTTTGTGCAGTACAAACTGTCGTTTGTGCAGCTTTTGTTTTCGAGATATTAGCAGTTATAATTTCGGTCGATGACATCACCATTTCGGAGCTTGCTRGGGGGACGATGATGTCATCGYGTTAAAGTTAAAACTTGTAATATCTCAAAAACTGTAACAGCACAAACGCTCATTTCTACTGCAGTAACCTGCACAATCGAAGCACAAAAAAAGTATACTGTTTTGGTTAATTTCTGAGGTTGCTGGGGGGATGATGACGTCATAATTAGCTAAAGACATAATGTTTAATATCTCAAAAACTATAACAGCACAAACGCTCATTTTAACTGCACAAACCTGCACAAACGAAGCACTAACCAATCCGCTTACTTGTTTGGATTTTTTGTGTGGGTGGGGTGTCAGCTTCACACAGCTCGTTGTTGAAATCCAATCTGAAGCCTATTATCTATACATTATATATCTGTTAGCCCACCCTATGAATATCACCACCACCTGCCACTTCTCTGGAGCATCTTCAAGCAAAAAGTTCTATGAGAATGGGAGGCATATCACATCCAAACAGCAACTTTAGGAGGCTAATCTGACATCCTGCAAAAAAAAAAAAAAGATAAAAAAACTTGATTCTCTAAAAACTCACCAGTTCACTGGATGCTAAGTTAAAATGTAACTTCACCTGTTAAGATGTTTTTGCTGAAATAGCTTTTGATTTCAAAATATAACCCCCTACAGTTGCAAATTCAACAAATGACCATTTTAAGTTCTTTACAATAATAATAATAATAATAATAATAAT